CAGCTACTTGGAAGGCTGAGGCGGAAGGATCGCCGGAGCCCAGCAGGTCGAGGCTGTGGTGGCTGGGAGCGGCCACTGCACTCCAGTCTGGGCGACAGAGTGAGACTCCAACTCAAAAAAAAAAAAAAAAGAAAAGAAAAGAAAAAGAAAAAAGAATCCTGCAATTCCAGCACTTTGGGAGGCAGAGGCAAGAAGATTACCTGAGTTCAGGGGTTCGAGACCAGCCTGAGCAACATGGTGAAACCTTCCCTCTATAATAAATCAAAAAAATTAGCCCAGCATGGTGGCACATGCCTGTGGTTCCAGCTACTTGGAAGGCTGAGGCGGAAGGATCACCTGAGCCCAGTAGGTTGAGATTGCAGTAGCCCTGAGCATGCCATTGCACTCCAGTCTAGGCGACAAGTGAGTCTCTAACTCAAAAAAAAAAAAAAGGAAAAGAAAAGAAAAAAAGAATCTATGTGTTTGAGAGCATTTTTTTGGCTTATAGAATTTTATGAATTTTTCAGAACTCATTTTACTTAATCAAAGGTTTAACATTTTAAGTAGAACAAAAATGGCAGAACAGACGTAAGAACTCTGAGAACCCATAAAGAAATGCTAATGAGGGCAATCAAATAAGATATGCTCAAAGGGCAATCCAAGAGAATATGAGACCAAAACAAACCTCTGCGGCAGCCCAGATGACAGATAACAGAGAAGCGGAAGGAAAAGAACAGATGGAAATGAGAAGAGCGGAAGTCAGAAATCTAATTAAATAGAAGTTTAGAGCTCATACAAGCCACAGGAGGCAATCTAACTAGAGGAACATCACAGGAAACACATGGGCTTGCATGACAAGATAATAGAAAAGAGATAGTCAAAATAAATCAATACATCGTAGAACGGGAATATTCCACCCACTGTCTGAGACACCCGTTTCATGGCTGGACTCACTCATACACAGGACCAAAAAACTACCCTGAGCCCATATGAGAGGACAACTCAGCAGTGACACTCATATACATAAAACCTGAGACTAACTTTCTGCCTGGAAGTATTATTTATTTATTTGTTTGTTTTTGAGTTGGGGTCTCACTCTGTTGTGCAGGCTGGGGCACGGTGGTATGATCAGGCTCACCACAGCTTTGAACTCCCAGGCTCATATAATTCTCCCACCTCAGCCTTCCAGGTAGCTGGGCCTATAGGTGCACCCTATCACACCCGGTTAGTTTTTTGATTTTTTGCAGAGACGAGGTCTCCCTATGTTGCCCAGGCTGGTCTCAAAACCCTGGGCTCAAGCGATCCTCCCACCTTGGCCTCCCAAAGTGCTGGGATTACAGGTGTGAGCCACTGCACCCAGCCAAGGAAGTATAATTTTAAATTCATAACTAGATAAATAAAATGCATTAATATTTTATTTGCAAGCTCTGTGATAACTTCAAATCCTGTTCTAAATACGTCCAAAGTGATCCTGCATCAAAGGACTTTCAGAGGTCTCCAAAAGGGGGATTCCACAATGTCCATCTATTTTCTGACTTGCGTCTACCATCTAGTTTCTCTTCATGTTAAAAATAAAACAGTGCTCATTGAGGACCTGCATGTGCTTCCCACAAAACTCCCGAAAATGATTTTATAACTTAACAACTTTTGCTAAAATGAATCCTAGAATTGAATACATGTAAGACAAAGACAAGGAAGAAAAATCATAGCTAACTTAGAGTATATTTTCACAATTCCAGAGAAGTCCTAGCATAACCCACATACCTGAGATGATAGCCTGTTCATCTAACTTTTTCAGGAGAATGTCTCTGATGTCCACTTCCCCTGCCAGGGAGAAAGTGTAAGCCAGTAGGGCCTGTGTATAGAGGTGGGTGGTGGAAGTGACAGAATTCTTGAGACACTGCAGACCCCGATTCACCATCGGGTCCTAAAAAGTGAAGATAAAGAGCACAATTGATAAGGCATTCCTTCTAAAACGGGACGGAATCAGGAAGTCATCATATCGTCTTTGACCTTAAAAGGGGACTAGGGACAAAGATGGGTGACTGTCTCGAGGAACAGGCATGAGAAGAACATGACGTGGAGGAGCCGGAAAACTCACCTCTATGGTCTTTCCCATCTCCAGCAACGCAGCCGTGACATACGCAGTCAAGGAGACCTCATCATCAACACCCCCCTAGAGGGAAACAGGGAGACTGGGAGTCAGGACAGTGGCCAGCACCTGCAAGAATTATGTGCAAGCTGCAAAAAGCCATCCCCTCTGAATGGATGAATTATTAAAAAAAAAAAAAAGCCGGGTTCGGTGGCTCAGCCTGTAATCCCGCACCTTGGGAGGCTGAGGGGAGGGGATTGC